TTATTATTATTATTATTATTATTATTATTATTATTATTATTATTATTGGGGCATCATTGTAAAGTGGAGTTTTTGCACAGTGTGGCCGGTGCTGACCAGATGTAGCTCAGCTACTGGATTTAATCACAGTCTGTAAAATCAGCTGGATATGATCAGACGCCAACCGGTGGGGAAGCGGATGCCCTAAATTATAAAGCAGAGAACCAAGATTTAAATGAACTCAGCAAGGCTCTGTTAATTATTATTACTATTTTTTTAAAGAGAAGGACTCGATAGCAGTCTTCCAATATTTGAGGGGCTGCCCCAAAGAAGAAGAGGGGCGGGGGTCGACCTATTTTCCAAAGCAACTGAAGGCAGGACAAGAGGCAACGAATGGAAACTAATCCAGGAGAGAAACAAGCTGCAATTAAGGAGAAATTTCTTGACTGTGAGAACAATCAACCAGCGGATCTACCGTACTTGCCTATAGAAGTTGTGGGTGCCCTAACCCTGGAGGTTTTCAGAAGAGATGGGACAACCGTTGGCCTGAATTGGTATGATGGCTCCTGCTTAAACGGGGTTGGACTAGAGGACCTCCAAGGTCTCTTCCGGCCCCAGGATAACGGAATACAGAATTTGAAGTTCAGCGTATTGTGTGAACCCAGTCTCCTCGCTCTGAGATTTTACCCTTGGCCACACAATTCCCTCGTGCCTTTTGAGCAGCCAAGAAATCAGAACAGAGCCGGGAGGGAGCTCAGAGGTCAACTAGTCCAGCCCTCCCTGCTCAGGCAGGAGGCCCTATATCATTTCAGACAAATGGTTGACCAATCTCTTCTTAAAAAGCTCTTCGTGTTTTTAATGCTTCTGGAGGCAGCCGTTCCACTGATTAACTGTCCTCCCTGACAGGAAATAACCGTGTATCGGAGTTGGAAGGTACCTTCAGAGATCTTCCAGTCCAACCCCCTGGTTAAGCAGGCAACTAGTTGCCCAATCTCTTCTTAAAAGCCTCCAGTGATGGAGCATCCACAACTTCTGGAGATACTACGCTTGATCTTAGCCAAAAGGCCGAGTAGCAATAAGACTTCTGAGGGACAGCCATTCATTGTTCTCGCCGTCATGGGAATTTCTCCTCAGTTCTAGGTTGCTTCTCTCCTTGCTTAGTTTTCCAATCTTAGATTATGTGTTCTTAAGCTTTGTTTCTCTGATTATGGGTGCTTCATCACTGGAGGTTTGTTTGTTTTTTTAAAGAAGAGTTTGGACAGCTGTTTGGACAGAATGGTTCCCTGCTTGACACCCAAAGGCCCCCACAGCACTAATTTTATTACACAGCTATGATATTCCGCTGTTTTTACTTGGGGCTGGAGTCTCTTTCCCTTCCCTTTTCCTTCTCCTCTTCCTTCTCCTCCACACCATAAACCTTACCCCCTTTGAACGCTGATGATGTTCCCTAGTTGGGTCATGAAATGTCTGCAAGAAAACCACCAAGCTCAGAGAGCACCAAGCACCCTTCAATTAATCTCTTGCATTAAGTTGATAGGATGGTCATTTCTTTTTTCTTTCTTTTTTTCTTTCTTTTTTTCTTTCTTTCTTTTTTTCTTTCTTTCTTTCTTTCTTTCTTTCTTTCTTTCTTTCTTTCTTT